AACATGCCTGCACATGCACTTTGAACACATTTCTAAATACAAATGAAAGATATGTATTATTAAAGTACCCTACAAGGCTTGTCATAACTGTTTTTTAGTTCAGCGTTCTGAAGTGGAGATAATACTAGAAAGAATGAAACAATTGTTAAATTGCAATATAACACGCAGATTGGGAAACAAATAGCATTGTGCAAGATGATGGTTCAGTTTGCAAATAAATGATCTATTTAAAACAAACACACACCAAAGTTTTGAAGAGAACTTGTTCTGGGGCTTTTGAGTATCTCATGTGGAATGCAAGTTTCCCCTAGCTTAAACTCTAAAGGCATTTTTTTTAAACATCATAGTTCAGGTGTGAAGCCTCAAGTACATTAACCATTTTAATATTTCATCAGTCTCTTTAAATTAAATAGGAAGCATAAGATATTTTACTGGTTAGAGTGGCTGGCAATTCAAGTAACTCTTAATGATGTAATGCAAACTTGTAAATCATTTTCAGTGAGGCCCTCATAGTTCAGCACAACTTTTATGTAATATACTAAATTGCTGGCATAGCTTTAAAATTTGTAATACTTGGAGATCATGAAAATTAGAACAGAATCCATATGTATATGGGAGAAGTAGCTGAAAATGTGGATTCAGGCTTAAAGTTTTTATAGATATGTTGTAGTCTTTAAAGCAAAAATTGTGTCTGATATGTGTTAAACCATGGCACATGTAAATGTTAAAAAGAGTGAAATGGAAGTACACCACAGAAATGCAATGTTAAAGTTATGTGGTACACATTGTGGTAGTGTAATTTCTCACCAAAAAAATGGTTTTATGGCAACGTATAGTGAAGATACTGGTATAGCGTAGGTTTATGAATGGTAAATGTGATTATCGTCATTCTTAGCTAGTCAGGGATTCAGTATTTTTGACAGGTCAGTCAACGAATTATTCATTTGCTGTGCAAGGATTTTCAGTTAAGGCATTCGAGCATCTCTGAAATGATGCATAATCCCCAGGCTTTATTATTGCTTATATCTGTGGGTTTCCATTGCAGCACAGGTATCAAGAGAAACGAATTATATTGCTTCTGTGGGAGTTAAACAGGCAAAATGTAGGGAAAAAAGAAAAGACTGAAAATAAACATACATCTGTTGTGAATCTGGAATGACTCGAAGGTTAAATAATGATGCCTGCCTTCACCAAATTGCCATGGAAAAATACGAACTGATCATAATTACAGTACAATAAAACCTCGTCCTCTTGCTTTGGTAGGCTCTTGAGTACAATAAAATCTTTGGCTAAAATAAACTGAATTCATATTTGTAAGCTTTCTCTTTGACAGTAAGGAGAATATTCTTAAATGGCGTAAATCGCCATCTTTTTGCTGACTTCAACAAAATTATGACAATTCCTACCACTCAAATGGTGGTCCCCAAGTATGACTCTGTCTGATTTTACCATGGTACACATATTGCAAATATGTGAACAGCACACTAGAAAGAACGGTTC